GCAGAGAAGATGAGGCAAATGAGAAGAAAACGATCAGTAAACGACACTGCAAATGAGAGATTAAATGAGAGACGCGCAGCAATGCCTAACCCAGACATGCCTCCGACTGTTACGTGATTGTGCACACTAAGGTCAAAGTGATGAGAAAACGAACTTACTAATCAAGGAGACTGCATGGCATGTTGCATTGCTTATAAATGCTCTGCATGTTTTCAAGGTAATTATTTGCTCTCTGTAGAAAGAAAGAGCTCCTTATGACTCAACCGTGCTTGTTGATTGGTAGCGCCCTCTTTAACTGGGCTGTGTCTGGACATCTGTGAAACTGTTGGACATCTGTGAAAGAGCTTTATAAGCTCATCGGTTTCCTCCAGTGCGAAAAAATATTCTGATTATGATGTCTGCCAAATAAGAATTGCACGAACTTGAGCGATGGGTGTAAACATCTGAATCTAGGTAAAGTGTGACGTTTGAAGGCAGATCTGAATGGGCCACATTAATGGTGGGTAAAAAAATAACGAGAGTTCAAATCTCAAGCACGCTCTGTAAACGATGGGTGGACAGCCATCGCAATAGGAGAATGCGTGCTGGCTGAAAGCTAAGACGTTTAACAACACGCAGAGGTGTGCTGCTCACACGGCATGAAGGTACGACTCCCATCATGCCTTGTAGGCGTGTCATGTGATTACATTTCATATACAGGTTTCCCTCGCTTTTACGTGGCGGCGGTGGTAGTAGCGGACGCGTTCCAAAACAAGGGAGCCCAAAGCGAAACCGCACGGGGGAGGCAGCTGCCTGTTGAGTCGCCCGCACAGTGCACAATGTTGTGCCACGTCCCAGTGACGGACTTGGCACAAAAAAGTCGGCCCGGGCATTTGCAAATACACCAGCCCAAATTCAGACTATTGCAAAGCAAATAATTTCGTTTACCCTGATCACATTTGCAATTTCCCAAAACAGACCACCCCACCGGCCCTTGGAATGGACTGGCCCACCAGGGCATTTGTTCGGTGGACTGCTGCTCTATGGCCAGTCCAGGCCTGCCACGTCCGACCGCATAGCAGCGTGTATGAGTGAATTCAAGCAGCATAGTAGAGCGAATTTTGTGTAGAAATCGGTTAGCCGCATACACAGCGCGAAATCGCACAAACCGCACCCGTCCAAAGCGAGGGAAAACCATTACAATTTTCTCAACCATGTCCAGACCACCAGCTCAAAAAAGCCCAATGCGTTATTTAGACCACCAACTCAGAGTTTAAAAAAAATGCGTGGCTGGGACTGTATTGAGGACACAAGACGGTCTGCTTGGGTCTCTGTTTCACCGCTGCCTGAATCGGGATAGGCACCTTTTCAACCTGGTGTGTTGGTGGACTATGCGAGGGAAATACAAGTGATGGAGGCTTAAATTTCGATTTAAAGCTTTCGTGACTGCAGGGATTCATCTTCTGGGTTCTTTCGGTAAAGTCACGTAGAATGGGAATAAAATAATGAAAATAATAACAGAATAAAATTATCACGACGTTTCGGCCACAACACAAGTAGCCTTCCTCAGGTGAAGAAACAGGACTGTCCAGAAGACAGCGCTTGAGTGAACACTGCCAAGCATGGGCAGCGTCTTTTAAGCTGTGTGGGAGGAACAGAGCGCCTTGACAAAGGAGTTTACATAAAAATTAGCATGTAACTGGGGGATTAGCATGATGTTGGTGTGAGGGATTAGCACCACGGAGAGCGACGAGCTATGTTCAGACGGACGAGGGGAGGGGGGAGAGGAATTTACATATAAATTAGCATGTAACTGGGGGACTAGCATAATGTTGGTGTGAGGGATTAGCAGCAGTTTACATATCAACAGTAAATTACAGTAAATTACAGTAAATTATTGTTGATATGTAAACTGCTGCTAATCCCTCACACCAACATCATGCTAGTCCCCCAGTTACATGCTAATTTATATGTAAACTCCTTTGTCAAGGCGCTCTGTTCCTCCCACACAGCTTAAAAGACGCTGCCCATGCTTGGCAGGGTTCAATCAAGCGCCGTCTTCCGGACAGTCCTGTTTCTTCACCTGAGGAAGGTTACTTGTGTTGTGGCCGAAACGTCGTGAGAATTTTATTCTGTTATTATTATTTTTTATTATTATTTTATTCCCATTCTACGTGACTTTACCGAAAGAACCCAGAAGATGATGGAGGCTTGTACTTGCATTTGTCTGCAGTAACTGTTACAGATGTTAAATCTTTACAATACAGTCGTGGTGAGTGCACCACATTATGATTCGAGGGATAGTTAAACTTGTTTCAAATGTTATATTGTACACTTTCGATAAGGTCCACAATCTTATACTGATGTCAAGATATACGATTTTCAAAAGACTAGTTATAGTTTCTTTTTACATTTTCGTGATAAACAGTTGGCCTAACACAATCTCTCAAGTGATTTATCTAACAATTGTCCAATAGATAACATTATGGCTGCTGTATATCACGTGAAAAGAATAAAAATAGTCACCCTCGCGGATACTTTGTTTTGTTTAGTCAACGCAGAATTTAAATGGGGGAAAAGTAAAATTGTTTTACCCAGTTTTCTCCACAAGTTGGCAGCAAGTTTTCATGTACACAAGCAAGACGAAACACAAGCCACATTCATCTTGCGAGGCATAAGAACACACTCATCTTCCAGTGTAAACAATACATCGGCCTGCGGTTTTGATTTGAAGCCATGAATCTTGCAAGGCAGGTTATCTCTGCGCCGTACTCGGCATAAAACGGCACAAAATAACTTTTGTGCAGCTATAAAAGCCATAAACGTCAGCAAAACTTCCACAGCGATGGGCAACTACACAAGGCAATCCTAACGCAAAACTAATAACGGTTATTGATTTAAAGCTTTTCGTGACTGCAGGGATTCATATTCTTGGTTCTTTCGGTAAAGTCACGTAGAAGGGAAACAATAAAATAATAAAAATATAAAACAAAATTCTCACGACGTTTCGACTGCAACACAAGCAATCATCATCAGGTGTGAAAACCACAGCAAGAACATTTTTTTTAATTTTATTGTTTCCCTTCTACGTGACTTTACCGAAAGAACCAAGAATATAATAACGGTTAGTTTTATGCTTTCAGTTGTCAGGAGGGAATTTTTAATTGGTGAAACACCGAATTAGTTTATTGACTTCTTTGAGTTGCAAAATATTTAAGCAATCTTTTAAAATACTGTAGCGTGTGACATGTGATATTAAAATGTACAATGCAATCTCCAATTATCTGAAGTCTGGGGGAAAAAAATGTATGCCTGGATCTCTTGCAAATATGTTTTGATGTTACCACAACTGCGTTTGTTTGAAAACGCTGTTCACCCTGACGACAAAAGAGAACCTGAGGTTTTACGTAAAGTTTTCATAGCCACGTTACGGTGACAAAGCACACTGATGCACAACATGAAACAAGTGCTTTACTAACACCACATTGACTAGAGGCGTGGACATGTGATCTCTGTGTATTGTGGCCTTAATATCGAGTGGGGGGGTAGGGCGATCTTAAATGGGGGGGGGGGGGCCTGACTAAAAAGGATACGAACCACTCAACATATATACACTACGTGCACGATATGAACTGAATTTATATGCAGCAGAAAACAAAATATCTCGCCTTGTGTGCTGTTTATTGTCAGTATGGAAAAAAAACGGTCATATTCGTGGGTCTTTTACCCGTAAAAATGTACGTAACGTATACATACTTATTTCATTGTATATTATTTACACAGCATTCGTTGCGAAGCAGTGTATGAAGGGATGTCACATGTCCTCCCTGCGTGTGTGTGTGTGTGTGCCCGGCTCTGCCGAGCCTTCGATTTGTGTTATTCTACATTGGGCCCTTTTCATCGATAAAATCCTTATTGGAAAATCCGCACCAATTCACTGTCCACGTTGTCAAATCAAAGAAACCCAAAGGTGTCCATCTGATTGCCGTTTTAACAATGCCGAGGACAAGACTTGGAATAGGCGACAAAGGCCTTTGCCGTTGCAGCACCGCCAACGGTTTGTTTAACCTTAAATTTTGATTTAAAGCTTTCGTGACTGCAGTAATTCATATTCTTAGTTTTTTCGGTAAAGTCACGTTGAAGAGAAACAACAAAATAATAAAATATATATAAACAATAAAAAAAAATTCTCACGACGTTTCGACCATAACTGAAACGGTCATCTTCAGGTGTGTTGGTTTGCATAAATTTATTTTTAAACGGCGCATTTATTTATAAAAAAAATTCGTCTCCCCCCTCCTCTTTTCAGAATATAGATGGACTAGTCCTGGGTAAACTGCCAAATCGCTGCGCGTGGCGCTAACGTTTTTTTTATAAATAAATAAATGCGCCGTTTAAAAATAAATTTATGCAAACCAACACACCTGAAGATGACCGTTTGAGTTATGGTCGAAACGTCGTGAGAATTTTTTATTGTTTTATATATATTTTATTATTTTGTTGTTTCTCTTCAACGTGACTTTACCGAAAAAACTAAGAATTTGTTTAACCTTGTTTCCTCACTTAACGCCGTAAATGTTCCTTCAAAAAGCATCCTGAAGAAGGAGATTAGTGCTGGATACAGTCGCATTTGCAAATGTTACTTGTAACTTTGATCCCTCCCCCCGGTATCAATAGTTCAATGTTAATGTTCCATTTTACTGAGGGACTTGCTGTGGCGTTATCTTGGTGTGGTCTCGGACTCTGTCCTCGTTGTTGCCGTTGCCTTGCCCAATCTTGATGAATCGGAATTCTATCATTAATTTCTTTATTATTATTATTGTATATTTAGTGATGACTTGCTTACCCTTGTCCCTATGTTGCACTCCTGTCGTGTTTCTGCATCGTTTGCCATTCTAACTCGCTGACCCCATGCCCCCCTATTCTGGGCGTGCGTCAAAAAGAGCTTCGCAGCTCGTCGGATTCCTCCGTTCAGTCGGGAACAAACATTCTGACAATTTCCGATTCTGTTCTCCACGCAGACGGCGATGTCTGGCGAAGTCCCACCACCGGGGCTCCCTACGCGTCCGTACCCGAAGTGAATTCAGCGATGCGCTAAAAGGGGGATCGGGGGGGGGGGGGGGAACGAGCGGCAGACGCCTCGGCCGACAGTGACAGCGCAACCGCCCCTCCTCCTCCTCCTCCTCCTCCGACGACGACGATGACGACACCACGACACCTCCGCCAGCAGGGCCCGATACAACAAGGCCCGAAAGAGTTTTTGACATCTGCGTCTATCGTTCGAGCTTGCCCTAGAGTAGGAGGAAAAGAGAAGGAACAAGATGAAAACAGTATATATTGTACAAATAAAAGCAAAGTAATTTATTGGTACAACAGGATTGTTTCAGGGAAGTCAGCTTCGGAGCCGATTTACGGTTTGCACAGACGTATCAGAAGAATCGTGATTTGCCGGAAATTGACCCGATTACCGTTGTCTGTTCACTGGCAAAAAAAGTGTACGAGAACAATCCGTCGAGATACACAGTGGAGAGAGATTTACGTAGAGGGGTGCGCAAATATATATTTTTTCTTTCCACTTTTCCCTTGGGGCAAGATGGACCGGGGGGGGCAACGTACATCACCGTCAAAAAACCGAGGGACGAGGAGAAAACAAAAACGACACAAAGACTCCCGAACGAAGATGCTTTCACGTCTTCGTTTTAAAGACGAGACTTTTTTTCAGTAGCCCGAGCTAATCTTTTACGTTCTTTTACCTTACCAGTGCCTATGGCAGAGGGGACAACACAACGAGAACTTGAATGAAACAAACTATAGAGGTCAACTCACTATACTGTCAAGTAAACATTGCCGTTATATCTGGGTCGTCAGCTGGAATGCATATCCCCCATCTTCAAGTGTGACTATTGAACACCAGTAGCTGATAATAATAAAAACCCCACATTTCCTTGATCTAATAGGGGTTAAACATTGTCACAACTGGGTCTCTCCATTTGAAGGCTACAGTTTCTCAAAAAAAATCTGGTTTCTCACCTGACCTTCGGTATTTTCAAAATGTAAACACGTGCGAGGTTGTGTTTCCAGCGCACCGTGGAGAATGAGTTGCGTAGACGTGGAAAAAAAGCATTAAAATGTATTAAAGTCGGTTAGGTCCATAATTGTGACCATATTTAGCATGTGGTACACATTACTGGCAGGGCGAGGGGGTGGGGAAAAGTTGTATATTTTTTAATCCTTCAACATCTCACTTTGAACATCGATGAGCACATCAGTGTTTTTTTTTTAGGAGGCATGGAAAAACCTGCTGCTGAATTAATATTCACATCTAATCTCTTCTGATAGTATTGGACATTTCACCTTTTGGGGATGGGTCATTGTCATAATGGTTAAGCCAGCGTTACTAAAAAAAAACATTAAATGTAAATAGCAAATGCCTTTCGTTTGGTACGTTTACCACAAGCGATGTGATCATATTAATTACCTATGGGATTATTTTTCATGTTGTTTCCACGAGGAACAAATGATCCGATGGAAAATATTCGAAAGCGAGGTCACAATTTGTGCACACTTTTTGGAGTCTGTTTATGTTTGGTTTATTATTTTTTTGCACCGAAAAACCAGGGTTAAACGTGGGTTTCTTTTGACGTGACCGCAGTTACCAACACCTCATTATTGTTTGTGAGCTTTGGTTAATTGCAATATGTCCGAGCGAGCTTGGCTATCGTTAAGAAACTGTTTTGTCATACGTTGGATAACCCTTCCTATTTCATTTCACAGTGGGCTTAGCATTGTGGAGCTGCACATATTATCGTCCATTGTTTACCAATAGGCCAAGACCATTAACAAATCATTCGAATCACTGAAAATACGTGAAGCATTTTGTTCACTCGTGTAGTCGTGGACGTAGCAGACACTTGACATTCTTAACCGGATTAAAATGTGCAAACAGTTATTTTGTGTAATAAAAATGTACAAACTTTTGTTTTAAGTTATAAAGTGGTTTTTCTTCACGAGTATTATTGTCCCTGGTAATGTGATTGCCAAATGTGAAATACAAACCCACTCCATGATCATCATCCATTGGCTGTGATTGATCATAATTTTACATCAACAATCTAACATACATGTAATTGTGCTTTCGGAGGGCAGCATACGCACATTAGACGAGACCTCTGTTGTCAGAAACAAAGAGGTGCTGCAGTATTGAGTACAAAATTGTGTCAAGCAGACAGCAAACGCCGAAGCAATGTAGTCGACATCGCTGCAAGTGATAGCGCTTGCCCGTTGTACCTATGTTGAACTTCTTTCGCTCCAACCGTGCTAATGGGAGGTGCGGGGGAAGGACCACAAACCAAACACAAAGGGCAGTTTTTTTTAAAGAAATTAGTTTTCAATGCCCGAAAATTCTACTTATATAACCCTCTATACCATGCCCGCCTTCCAGCTTCAGCACAGCACACGCCAGAATCGTACGCGTCTTGTCCCCCGGAATGGCTGAAGCTAAGTGAAATGTGTCATTAAAGCGGCTCGGAGCGGCGGGCAAGGACAATCTCGGCACGCCGTTCGCAATGCTCGTGAGTTGTCCATTCAGAAGTTCGCAACAACTTCGCGCAAACAAAACTAGAACTCGGCGCTCATTCACTGTTCCTTGCCCGTCAAAAAAGTCTTGCGGATACGCGAAAGGGGGGGCCGGCCCTTTGGGGCGATTGGGAAAGGAACACGTTTTGCTGTCACGTCATATTGGACGTCAACGATGGAATTGTGAAGACATTGCTGCTTGTGTGTCAAGACGTTTTTTTTGTTGTTGTTGTTGGATCGTCCGATAAGTTGGTCGCAAGTAACCATTCAGGCTCTAGTCATTCACATTGCAGTGTTGTATTTGTGGGGGGGGGGGGGGGGGGGGGACGGTGTCACCTAAAAACGAGTAGCTCGCGGAGCAATTTTGTTTAACAGTGGATGTCAGAAACTATAAACGTATCAGTGGTGAAAGTTGGTACCAGTGAATCACCTCGTAAACATGCAACGTTGGGCCAACGTTGCATGCGGTTCAAGAGATATTGGACAAACCGACAAAATGTTTCGCCTTCACCACACAGTCATTTTATGCAGTAGGAATTGTAGGGTGTCACGCGGTGGCTAGATGTTAACTAACTCACCAGGTATACAGGAGGTCGTGGGTTCGATCCCGACCCTGACGCCTGCTGCTGTATATTTTAAGTTTTCATGTTCTCACCTGGGTTGCATGTTTTTTTTTTTCTCCGAGTCCTCCGGTTTTTCCATCCACATTTAAAATCAACGTGCGTTTAGGGTATTTGGCTGCTATAAATTTCCACATGACAAGCCACTTCGTTGAGCTATCATTTGTGGCCAGGTCGCTTTTGAAAAAAGAGCTGTATAGCTCAGTGAGACTAACCTGGTAAGATAAAAAAATAGCTTAGCTTTAGTTTAATTGGTAGCAGCTTACCATCATTGTTCATGCTCACATCTTTATGAATGTGTGCTGAAAGTGTACTGCAGTACAGAACAATCACTGAACAAGCAAGCATGTCCCAAAGCACCAATGAGACACTTCATCTCCATTGTTGGTGCTCAGCGAACGATTAAAATGCCACCTTACTATTGTAGAAGCCTATCTTGCCATCGGACAACCAATGTTTACAACAAAGTGGTACCGATTTTACACACCCCATGAGTAATGATTCCTGCAAATTGAACTCGACAGTAAAAAGGGGTATGTGTTTTGGCACATTTTGTAACCAAAATGAACAATATTACACAAAAATCTAAGTTAAAATCGTTACTAAAATTCCATATTTGTGTTTCAAAAATGACCTTTTTTTTAAACGTTTCCGCGACCTATCAACCGCACGGCCTTCTGGGAGTGCGTCTTATGAACAGTTCGGTTCAACTCAAGAAAACCCCGGACCGATTGCGACATTCAGTGTCTCATCAGCAGAGTCGGGAACCCAATTCTTACGAAAGACTCCTTCGCCATCGACCATCGGGGCAGTTCAAACGAGCCATCACACTCCCGAGCGACTCGATCACACAATAATTGTCACAATTCAGGGTCATAGCTCGATTCAAGAATCGAATTGTAACTGGGTGGCGAATGTTAATGCCTCCATAGGCTGCAGGCGGGGGTAAACCATTATTGTAAAAATAGGGTTTTTCCCCTTTTTTCTGGCAACAAAACTGAAACCTTTTTACAAGGATTCATGTCTGCATTAACCACAATACCTGCAGTGGTTAATGCAGACATGAATCCTTGTAAAAAGGTTACAGTTTTGTTGCCAGAAAAAAGGGGAAAACACTATTATTACATTTTGGTACTGGCAAAGGGGGTCTAATGATGAAACATTATTGTAAATACAAACCGTTCGAATCCAAACACATTGACTCTTACCTGATCAAGTCGGTATTTTGTGAGCAAAGGATCAATAATCGATAAATCGATCCATCGTGCGCCTATAATGAAGAGTAGTTTGAAAATCACTTGCCAGCCTTGCATGTGATTATGAAATGTAAAATACGTATAATTTTACACGTATCATTCGAGGTGGGAAGGAAGGATATTTAGCTTGATTCACATTTAGCAAACTAAATTTATACCTTCAAATAATGTTTTTTTTATTGGGGTAGTAATAATTTTGCAATGGTTTCACATTTATTTTGTTTGTTCGAGTAATATGCTTCGTTGTTGGACTGCCAAAACACTTTGCAACATTGATATAGTACAGATCAATTGAAACAGAACCCACGCTGGGTTTGGAGCTGATTCAAACATGCTGTCGTATGATGATGGTCACCTTAAACGTTTGGGCCCAGACAAAATAACTCCTTGAAGTGAAATTTGCTGAACCATCCCAATTTCAAAATTCTCCTGGAATTGCCTTGAGCATAAGTGACGCTTTCGTTTGGAAACAAATTAAACGTAGGTAATTATGTTCATAATTTATTTGTAAAGCGTAATTTCAAAATTCCGCCTGTTGTCAAACCAATGTTCTTTCCATTTGATGTAATAACATACCCGCTGTATCTTGTGTTTTCAATTTTTCTTTTTAAATGCTCAAACTTAAATAGCCAAAAAACAAACGCGTTTGATTCTGGTCTTTAATTTGTATCATTTGACATCCCCCCCTGCAAAAAACGCAATACTAATTGGCATCTAACAATAATTACCAGCGAAATGTCGTACTTCTCAAATTGTAAATGTTGTGGATTTACTCTCAACACACCAGTGGGCTGTTGTCGTAACTATTTGGCGTTTTGTTTACGTGACGAATCCCTTACTAATTGGCTGTCGGGTGTTACGCGATCTAACCCAAAGACCTTTATTACGACTAATTGTTGTGTTTAACATATCAAATTTCACACGTAACACCCTGCAAATGCGGATGTGGACAATGTACCTCGTGCAGCTGCGCTCTTTATATCCTTGGTCATGAATCGTACTACGGAGGGAATATCTTGGGTTGCTTTTCTTTTTTTCTGGAGTTAATTATTGAAGGGTGCTTTGTGAGTGAGTTGAACGTTCACGTTTAATTTGTCTCAAATGTCTAAATTTGACTGTAAAAATTACAATGGTGGACCATTTAACCCACAACATTCAAACGAACCGCTCGTGGCAATGAATACAAAAAGGCTTTTGCTTCAGTGAGCGTTGTATTCAGAAACCACTCTGATTTATTTAACAAAATATATATTACTTGTGCAGCTTAAAATGGCTCCACAGTTTAAATAAACAGAACCATACAATGTGTATTGTTTATTTTGTATGTCCTTCACGAACAGAACTGAATACCTAAAAACAATAATCAATGGAGGCTCCCGATGCTATTTGCTCTGGAGCTTAGAGCCCTGTTTTGATCAATTCAAGACATTTAAAGAATCTACTCGCGGCATCTTACTTAGTTTGGCAAAGTGGAGCAAAGTGCCCAGTGCATTACCCTCGTTTATTGAGTCGTGTCAGAGGAAGGCCCTACACATCCCCAATTGAAACATTGCTGTAGATGGTTTATATTTGACTTTTTTTACACCCGGATTTGAACTCTTCAACAGCGCGATTGGGAGGGCATTCTGCAGGCCCCCGTGCACGATGTTCTACTCAATTGTTGGCAACAGGAAAAATCAGAAAACTGCTGTGGATGAAGTCATTTCATTTCGGTTATGCATTTCACCTATCTATGTTATATCGTGTAAATCTCATCCGTTTTATACACAAATTAAAATCCCATTCTATTTATGTCTGCATTGGTGTTAATTACATTTCCAGGTATTCAGAATCGGCTGCTGTACAGGGTGATCGAGGTGTCTCGTGACTCCCAATTAATTGACCCCTAACATGCTTTTTTGTGTTCCTTTGCATGTTCACTCATGGTTTAAATCAGCATTACTTTTTAAAAAAATGTAATTTTAGGGAATTAAATGCGGGGGGGGGGGGGGGGGGCGAGTTCACAGGACTTCTAGAGCACCCTGCACAGTAATATGCGGGAAGAACAATCCCCCCGTTTCGCTTGCCGCGATTCGTTTTCTCTCGTACCGTCGTTCCTAAAAAAAAAAAATCAGACACCTGCGCAACACGAATCGGTGTTTAGATGGACATCTGGTCGGGAGATTATTTTGTAAATAGATGCGAGGTGTTTTAATAGTAGGGGGGGGGGGAGTAGGGAGGGGTGAAGCTGCAATAATGCAGAGCATTGTTTAGCAATTTGACAACAGTGCAGTCCGATTATGAAGGGAGAAGGATGGAAGAGAGCATGCTTTATGCACGTGTAGCAAGAGTGCGGTGGATTTTTTTCCCTTTTTACAAATTTTGTCATTTTGCAAAACATGCGTACATTTTACGACTTGGTTCACTTCTTGTGTCGTAGGCACACAAGAAAAGCATTGTTAGCATAAGAAAAAAAAATCAGCTATCCACTCATGGCCAAAGTAATCTACAAGTACATTCCATATCGTCCACAATTAGCATGGTTGGC